CCCCAAAACCCCAAAACCCCAAAACCCCAAAACCCCAAAACCCCATCTTGATAAATTTTTTGATTGTGATGATTAGTAGATTGGATAAATAATAAAAAAATATAGTCAATTGATAATAATGAAGGCTAGATATAAGTTAGTAAAAATTTTACATTCAAATCTTTTTTATTCAAATCATATAATTGAAGAGCTCTTAATACATACCAAAAGCCTGGTTACACTTAAGAGCCTCTTTTGCTAGCTAATTAAGAGTAGTTTATATATTGTTCTTTCTTTATGGTCTCACGGTTATATGTCATCAGTGTTTATTTTATTCAAATAAGATTTGTTAAAAGCACCTCGTTTTTTCTTTAGAAAAGGGTCTTCTAAAGATTTTATTTGTTATATAAATTCCTGAATATCCTCTTTAGATTCATCTTCCATATTTTCTAATACTTATTTAAAGTGCTTTTCGATAGTAATCAAAGATTAATTTAATGACTAGAATGTTTCATCTAAAATTTCTAAGGATTAAGCTATTTATACTATTTTTTAGTATTATTTATTGATTAATTATTAAGTAGCATTAATGGCAACAGCAATAGGAAGTAAAGTATGATTTTATATTGAAATATTCTTCTAAACTTGGAGTAATTTAGCGATTTAAACCATAATGCAATTTTTATGAACTAACTTAAGAATTTTATGCTCTAATCTGAATGTATCAACCTTATTGATATTTATTAAATTCATCTCCTTTTAAATGAACTGCGATGATATGACGTGTATTTCCTGAGTTCGATTTATTTGGAACCCGACGTAAAGTAGAATTTTTCTTTCGATTGCGTTGCATTCTTCTTATGAATATTATAGCTATCTTTTTCCAGCTTAGATGTTTCCGTAACTTATGTACTTTACATCCCAGAATTTAGAAGCTAAGATTACGCAAGTTACAGCTATTAATTATATTATATTTGGATCCTATTTATAGAGATTTTGGTACACTGCACTCTCTTAAAACCTGATAAATAAATCAATTGCAGTGAATATTGTTTAATAGCTTGATTAGTCAGACTATCTTATCATTGAAATAATTTGCTCAGCCATTCTTTATTATAGTCTAAGCTCATTTTATTTGTCTAAGGCTCTTACTTAGCGTAATTTATTTATTTCTATACATTCAAATCTTAATTTATCATAGTCCTCTTGATAGTTAGAAGGCTTATTACATAGTTATTTACATTCATAGGCCCTTCTATTGTTTGAATTATTTCTTAATGAGGGTATTTCAACATTAATTCTGGTAAAAGTGTTTCCAAAGTGAGTGGGATTCATTGGATTAAGAGTTAATTTTGAGAGCTCCATTTTTCGACTATTTTGAATTTTCTCATTTTTAGACTTATAGTTGTCTCTTTATTCAACTAATATTGCTAATCATTATTTCCTTCCTAATCTACTTTATTTTCAATTAGTTTGTTTTAACTGATCTCTATTCCCCTTTTGGTATGATTATTAAACTAATGAATTTTATTTTAGATAACTTGACCAGCCATAGAAAACATACCAGAGCGTTCCTCAACTCCTTCTTCGATAGAATCAGTGTAATCTATCTCTTCGTGTTCATTACTTAGTAAGTAATGTACCTTCTATATCTTTACTTTAGACTATAACTGGAATTTATTATCATTTATAGAGTTTAATTCTTGGATTTAGATACTTTAAAGCAACATTTCAATAAGACTTATAGTTATTGTATTGATAACCTATTGAATTTACCTAGTACTTTTAATATTAAGTTATATTTAATCATTTTATTTGAAAATTATCCTCTAAATAGTGCTGTATGGGGTTTTGGGGTTTTGGGGTTTTGGGG